ACGGCGACTGTCGTGCACGAACAGCCGGAAATCCAGGTTCCCTCGGACGTGAAGTTCAAGACTTCGCATGCTGCCATCCAAGCCCCCACGCCGATGGCCGGGTGTACCCCCGCAGAGACTCGAGCCATCCAGGACACCATCCCGGTGACGAACAGATACATCTCTGCTGCTAGAGAGTGAGATTCTGCCCCTCCCTTCAACGTTACTCGATGAGCTCTAACAGATTGACGGCTCCGATAGTTATGTCCCAAAGAATGGCGGTTCTGGCGCGGGAGCCCTCTACACCAAGTGGTTCGGGAAAAGCAGCTCGGCGAACGTGCAGAAAGTCACAACTGAGTTCACGAATCTGATGACGAATCGGTTCACGGGCTTCACGTACAACTGCCACACCGCAGCGCCCGATTGCGAGGAGGGTGACTACGCATATGTCTATGCTCGCAAGTAAGTACATTCCTGCCTTTCGTTCGCTGTCACCTAGATTAGCTGATGTTTTGGGCGCATAGCTACGGTATCGTCTACCTGTGCGACGAGTTCTTCAAAGCTGCGGTGTCCGGGTACGACTCCAAGGCGTCCACCCTTGTCCACGAGGTACGTCTGATACACGAGTACGCGATGAATCCATCTGATCGGCATCGCTCGCATTATCGCACAGGCCAGCCACTTCATCAAGAACGGAGGAACTGTGGACGTCGCCTATGGCGTGAACGCTAGCCAGAACCTCGCGAAGATGTCCCCGAACCGCGCGGTCACCAATGCTTGCAACTACGAGTACTTCTCTGTCGACGCAGATAGCGCGACGATCACGTCTGTTGAGGCCTGATGCAGATGGCCCGTCATCGTCATCGCTACTATTGGGCTTATGTGCAAGACGGTTTGGCTACTTCATGTCAAGAAGTTCGACATGACTGGGGCGAGTGTTGTGGTTTGTATGCGAGCAGCGAGTCAGTATGCAGGAGTCCTAATCAATAATTTCTTGATCAATCGGGATACACGGTCACTTCCGATTCGGAAGATTGATGTCTACATGGAATGCTCAACCATCGAGGGCGCGCGTGTCCGTGAGTGTTTCCACATGGTTCGAGGTTGCCATTCCCAACTACAATCGACTACACCGGTGACTCAAAAGCTATGAATGTCGCAAATCCTCATGAAGATATATCGCACACTCTCGGTAATCCGTTCACTTCTCATCGTTAAGTCCCGGGGTCTTAGAATCAATATTGCGACCCTCCGTAGGCTTGCTGTTATAGTCTGGGATCTTCCTGGATGATCAACACCGGTGAGCATATGACACGTCTCGCAGGTTGCGGACATACCCTTCTTCAGTTGCCAGTTCTGACAGAAGTTCGCTGTGCCCTTTGTGACCAGACCATTTCGGTACTCCGTCGGGAACCTCCATGACGCGTGAGCCGTAGAAGATGTGTGCGGTTGGTTGGAAGTCCAACGGCACTTTGCCGTCTGGAAACTTAAAGGCCGAGGGGTAGGCGAGTACCATGTTGCGCCCCTCGTCAAAGAGTGGCGAGCGACATTCGTTGCAGGACACCTGGGTCATTAGACTGGTGTACTCCGACAACAATACGTATGAAGGGTTCAAGAACACCCACTTTGCATGGAACATCGTGGACTCCCTCGCGACGTTGTGTAGAGAAGAAGTGAAGATTGTTTCCATCGTTCTTTACCATACGGACTGAAGTCTGACGGGATAAATTGAGTCGTTGAGGGGGGACTGTAGGCGAAATCTGTGCAAACCTTGGGGAAAATCACTGCCCACTGAAAGGGGGCGCCATGGAGATGTTGACATTGCTTGCAATGGCAGTACTTGGCGTCCAAAGGGTCTCCATGGAACTCGAATGCAACGTTGCCGCACCAGCATTGCCTGCGAGAAGAGAGCATCGTTCGTCCATGTGCCTTCAGCGTCCGACGAACTCTGGGTACTCACGCGTAGTACTTCATGCGGAATAGCTCGCAATCTTCCTTCCAGTCATAAGGTGGCTTGTGCATAAAGTCTTTCTCCTTATCGCCACCCTCCTGGCTTGGGATTGAGCCGCGCCAGCCGGTGTCAGGAGACTCCGCGTCCGACCTTGGTGGTCCAGTGGTGGAACCGTCTTCGGGAGGAGGACAATGAATGTCTGAGTGCGAGGCCTGACCGGGCTTGTACGTGTGTGTTTGCGGGTGGACATGAGGATGCACCAGGTCCCTATACCTGCTGCCGGTAGCCATACCTCGTAGGAAAACCTGCACTGAGAGGATGGGCTGTTGAGTACATACCAAGGAGAGCTGGGTGAGTCTGCACCTGCACGTTAGACATGGATGACGTCATTCTGCCTGGGGTTACACACACGTGATCGTGTCCAAGACGCGTCAAGATAAACGCGTGTTTGTGACGCGTTGCCGTCCCTTGACTGCTCTTGACCAGACACCATCATCATCTCCCTCCCGTACTCACGTCCTGGATCGTTCAGTACTAGCTCGTACGAGATGCCTCTCTTCTCTAGACTACTGCCATCGCTTGTATCGGCATATGGACTGCAATCAGGTTGGTAGTGATGATTGACCTTTGACGAGTTGTAACAGACTAACTGTATGCGCCCACAGTACTCGCGGCCATCTTCGTTCCCCAAGCCAACGAGATGTTCTACGATTTAGGTGGCTCTATAGGGTTTATATCGACGACATTGATCTCCCTCTACTATCCTCATCTTAAAGCAACCTTCTGGGATCGTATCCCCACTGCAACGCTCCCGCCTATAACACACTTTGCACCGAGGCAGATTCTGCTCAATGCAGCAATTCTTGCATGGTCTACGAGGCTGGGAACGTTCCTCTTCTCGGTAAGTCTGTTATAAAGCACATATGGACCTTCTCAAACGTGTTGGTCTTCAGAGAGCTATGAAAGCTGGAGGCGATTCACGTTTCGACGAGGTGAAGCATCAGCCTGTCAAGTTTACGGCATTTTGGATGGCACAGGGTACAGCGAGGTGTCTCTGTGTGTACCAGCGGCTCTAACGCAGCGCATATAGCGACCTGGGTCCTAGCTGTGGGCTTGCCCGTCTACATGGTGAGCGTGTTCAGTAGGATCGATGGCCGTGCTAGTTATGGCTTCGTAAAAGGCATACATGCAGGACTACATTGATTGACTTTGTCCGTAGGTAAACACGCTAGCTCCCATCAACCATCCCAAAATGGGTCCTCTAGACTACGTGGGTGTTGCGCTATGGGCCAGCTCGTGGCTGTTCGAAATCGGTACGTTAGTTATAGAACACACCAGGGCGTACTCACTCAGAACTGGGCTCCGCACTGCAGTTGCCGATCATCAGAAGTCCCAATGGCGTCATGCGAAGAACAACAAGCAGCACGACGAAAAGTTCATCACCGAAGGTCTATGGAGTATCAGTCGTCACCCAAAGTGCGTGTGCATGGTCCCATGGTATTTTTTGTGACTAACCCCATCTATCGTGCTTAGCTATGTCGGAGAGGTCGGCTTATGGACTGGAATGTGGCTGGTGTCATGCCGCTCCCTCAGCTCGCCGTTCTTCCCGAGAGGCTCGTGGCTCCTAGCTGGTGCCAGTCCTCTGTTGACTTGGTTCCTTTTGACTCGTGTATCTGGTGTCCCGCCGTTGGAGGTACCGACTTCGGTTCATCTCTAATAAGTTGGCCGCTTACGACGTCCTTTCATCCAGGCGGCAGGGAACAAGAAATTCCGGGACGATCCCAAATGGCAAGAGTATAAACGGTGAGTCTTTTGTCCATCTGCTTCGCTCATTGATCTTGTAAGGCAAGCAATTGCGTAGTTCTCTGTCGATGACTCGTTGAGGTGCCTTTTGGTGTTGGCCTTGAGAGTTGCGTTGATAGTGTCTGGTACCATCTCTGCTCAATGCAGAGGACGTGAGACACTGCGCGAGAGCCGAAGGAGTGCGAACCGGGATGATCATGACACTGACTCGGGCTCGCTACGTAGGAGCGTCCCCATTTTCTGGCCTTTTGTTGGTACCAAAGGCGATCTCCGTCGCTCGTCACAGTAGCGACCGGCGCATGGGAATAGAGGGTGAGAACGTTTGTGTTTGCGAATGAGCAACTGTACGTACGTCCACGCTCGACGGTTCAACGTTGCACAAGGACTCACATTGACCATCAGGAATCAGAAGTCGCGCGTGATCAATACTGCGATCACATAGCGAGTGTAGCACATGTGGTTATGTGAATACCATCGGACATCATGACCGTAAGATCGAGTCCTCGGTCAGTTTGCAGTTCATGATTCGGGTGATTCATGTATTCGAAGGTGAGTTCGAGTGTTTGTCATCAGTGAGCTCGCACAATACAACGCTTCTGTGTTGTACTTGTGTAGTGATGCTGAACGTCGAGCACACAGGCTCGGATCGTTGCCCACCGGCGAGATCATTGATCCTAGTCAGATCGCTCACAGCTCTCATGGATCCGGTATCATTCATGACATACGAATTTATCGAGTAGGCTATACGCGATAACTTCAGCATAGGCTTCCACAAAAGAGATCACTTGGCACCAGTCTCTTCTGACGCGCATTTCTCGTGCTCTACCCTTAAGTGGAGGTGAGTAAGTATGTCAGATATGTCTCGATGATCCATATCGCTCACAACCATTCCCTTCCCATTGGCGGGAATCAGAGACTCTGATGGGGGTATCATCATATTGGCCCTATCCTTCTCCACCGCGACAGGCTCCGCAAGATGGGTGAGGACGGCTTGCCGATCAGAGCGCTCACGTTCTCCAGACTCCTCGGTCATGATGCATGAACCACAAAGACCCGGTGGAGGCTAGAATCTTCCGGCCCGGGTCTGTATCTTCCTCTTCGCGGCCCGCATCCAGTCCCAGACACTAGATCTCACTGCTAGGAACGCCTAGGCGTCTTCCTTGGTCGAAGGGATTAGATGCAGATTTGATGCAAATCTATTCGAAGTGAACATCTGCAAACTAACATGCCACGCGTCCACATACGTCAGTGTGTACTCACTATTGTAGGGCACTTGGCACAGTGGTAGCGCGCACGCTTTGCATGATTTAGTTCAAGTGACTGCGTGAGGTCGGGAGTTCAATCCTCCCAGTGTCCAATTTTGCTTATCTTTTGGATCGCGTGGAGTTCTGATTGATTAACGAGCCTGGACTGCAGATCGCGTCCTCTCATGCTCCCAGCATTGAAGGACTGACAGGCGTTACAGCATCCGACGATGCTATAAATCTGGGCACTCCGTCTGTGCGGCCACCAGCAACATGTCCACCGTCGAAACGCCAGAGGAGATTGCAGTGAAAGCCGACTTCCGGACGAACATCTGGGCGGTGTTCCAGGAGCTCTACGACAGCAAATGGGACCAAGGTGCGTCACCCGCGGCGCTGGAGAGCATGACTGACGACGTGCAGCTCGGTGGAATGCCGCCGTCGGTGAGTGGCTTGTGTCTCGACGGTCTGCACTCGGCTGACTCGTTCGCAGCGCGATTCAAGGCGGCGCACGACCCCGCCGCGGTGCAGCGATTCTGGGCGCGAGCGAAGCTGCCCGGCTGGGACGCGCTCGAGGCGCAGTTCAAAAAGGGGCCGCCGCCGTTTCTCCGCCCGGGGTGGACGAGCCCGCTGCTGGGCAAAAAGGTCGACCTCCGGTGGCTCGACTCGGGCCAGTTCGAGCACGTCAAGGGCAGCATGGACGGCTGGCGCGATGCGAGACTGCTTGTCATCGAGCTGTGGGCATCGTGAGTGTCCTCTGCGAGCGCCGTAGCGCTTCTAGCTCTGGCCTGCGTCACGCATCTGCGATTACTGACCCCGAGATCTTCTGTCCGCAGGTGGTGCAGGGTACGTGTACATACTCGGCTTAATTGCCCATGGCTCACCCACGCGCCCGCAGCCCTGCCTCGCGGTCTTCCGCGACCTCTCCAAGCTCGCGCAGACGCGGCGAGATATCAAAGTCATCACGTTCAACTCCGAGGGCATCTTCACCAACACGCCCGTCGACGTCGCCGCCGTCAAGGCGTTCGTCGCGCGGCGCGACGACATGAACTACCCGATTTATATCGATACGCACCGGGTAGCGGTCAACGGTGCGTGTTCCTGTTCCTGGCGTGGACAAGGTGCTGACTCATCCTTCTCAATCGCAGCGATCTTCCAGCCTGGCCAAAACCTGTCTATCCCCTTGGGTACGTCCGCGCCGTTCCCGAGCTTAATGAAACTCTCTTCGGCTCTCGAGACGCCTCGCTGAATACACGTTGTTAGCGTTCATCATCTCCCCAAAAGACGGGATCGTCCGTTGGATCGGTAACCCTGAAGAAATGGCCGCCCCTCTCGAGGCCGCTCTCCGAGCTGTCTAGCTCTTGTACAACTGTGCGGACGGCGTCCGCTGGATATACCAACCTCATTGTATCATATAGAGACAGCTGTGTCAAATACAGATCTCGTTCAAACATCCGCCTGCCATCCGTCCTACACGGCCGCCGCTGCGACTGTATCGCATGTCACACACGTATAACCTGACGGCCGAAGCACTCGTGATACAGCTCTACCGTTCTTGCGCCACGCACTGACATGCTGAACCACATCCTGGTGTAATTCAGGGACCTCAACTCTGCCCCGCGCCGCTGAATCGACGACGTCCTGGGCGCGTGTACGAACCTTCAGTACGCCGTCGCGCGTTCCGCATGCAGCTTCGCGGTATGGGTAGGGTTGTCCGGATTGAGGCGTCCGTTTGAAACCAGCGGGGATCGTGGAAGAGCCCCGCGACCGTGAACAAGAACAGAATGACGCATCTGGATGCTGCGGGCACCCGCATTCTGTGCGTCTAGTCCTTACCGTGGTGTCGTACCATAACGTCGAGCGACGGTGGTTTGACTGCTGGCCGGACACTGCAGACGTGGACGTGACGGCACTGACTCCAAGACATGTACGACAGACATACCCCTACATGAAGCAGCCTGTCAGACTTCAATGTGAGCCGATATTCGACTGGGGTACGGGAGTAATCGCTCACCGGGCGGAGCCGCACAATTCGCCGGGGGGTCTTCTACAGCATGGTGCAAGGCTTCCAGTCATCCGACGATGGTTGATAAGGACGAAGAGCTCTCTACCAAACGGCGAGATTTTTTGATAGCGGACCGACAAAGTAACGGCGTTCGCACGTCGAAGCGAAGCGGGGGCATTATTCAATAACGAACCAAGTCCGGGCGAGGACAACAATGCCCCAATTTGCTAGCGCCGCGTCGACTAGCAGTCCGCTCGTGGGATTCACGCGCTTTCGCGTTCGGGAGACTCTCAGGCTCGTGGCTTGTTCTGGACATCGCTCATCAATCATTCCTAGCTAACTTGTTATGTATGAAGGCCACATCCACTCACCAGTGCTGACGCACTCGTGTTCGGTTTCTCTGACGCGGATGTCCTCGTTGGCGCGAATTCCTCATCTCCAACCGCCAATCATTCGGGATGGTTCCGTCCTGTGTGTACAAGTACACGTCCATTCCAGCGCTGTGGCGGAGCATGCGAAAGCATCTGCCCCGTGCTGAACCACCTGGTCGCTCTTCTCCGCAATACCGGTGGGTTCTTCGGGCTGCGCAAGGCGAGTCAGATACGTGCTATTAGAAGCGCGTGGCAGCAGCATTAGCTTCAATCACGACACCGAGCTTGGGACCTCACTGGCACCCCTCCGGGTACACAACGGCTACCCGGGATGTGGAAAGATTAACGGAATGCGGTCGGGAGCGAATGTAGCCGGACAGACGTCAGACAGCAGCGACGCTTGACCCCATCGGATGCAGCGGCATCCCAGGATAAGCATACGAAGAAGGACGCTCGCGGGCGGGGTCGGTGACAGTTTACGTGGGTGGTAAGCGGTAGACGTGCCTCTGATGTTCGGTGAGGGTCCGCCGCTTATCCTGTCTTTGCCTCGTGGAAAGGGAACCCTCCTGTCCAACGGCGGAAGCGAGCACGGGGAAAGTGACTGCAATGACTGATCGAGCATTCAACCCAAGAGTACGACGTTGAGAAGGCACGAGCTCGAGGGGAGATATATGCCCTCGGAGCTGGGTCGAGTAGAGGGAACTTGAAGGAGATTGTAATCGTGTCGCCCGATGAGTCGGGGTTAGCCAAGCCTGCCCATGATCGCGCTAGGACATCGTAACCAGATCGCTGACAGAGCTCGGGAGTACCTGCGAGTAAACAACGTGTAAGATTATCTCTGTTCCCATCGGGCGGTGTGGGCTATAGACTCGTGACAGTGAGACTCACCGTGTAGATACGTTCTTGGCCGCAGATGCACTCGAGGCGACTTCCGTATGGCGTGAAGCGGTTCGAGAGCGCTGTTACACATCAAACCAGTCTTCCCCCGGGTGCTGAGGGATTATTATCTGCCAGCCTTTCACGGTCCGGAGCCTGATCCTTCGAGAAGAGCAGCCAGCAAGCATCTATCAACGGCGTCAGTCCCATCCGCTCACGATGTCCTTGCCAGGCATGAGCACTGATTGCTTGGTCGGTTGGAGCTTGGCACGAGGCGATGTCGTTGAGAACGCCGCCGGCACGCCTGAGTACCTGGGCTGAAGTCAGAGCCTAAGTGAGCTATCAGATCCCGGCGAGTGAAAGTATGCGGTCGCATAAGATTTGGTAAGTAATTGAGTAGAATGGTGTACGAGGAAGAGGCACTCAAAGCCAACCGAGGGTGCAGACCCGGCTTTTGCCGGCCGACAAAAGGTCCGAGCACTGCCGCTGTCAGGACTCAGCCCGGCTTCAGCCAGCTTCAGCCTTTACACCATGAACTTCGAACTTCACAAGTCGTTCCGAGGACTTTTTGGTACTTGTACATTCATTCATCGGGGTATCGCATGGGTATACACATGGTGTTTAAACAGGCTCGAACCGTCACGGTCCGCTCAGAGTTCAGGGGCAGAAAGTTATTGTGTAGTCGGCCGCCTTGCTGGCATCGCAAGTGAAGAGCGCGGTACCGCTCGACTCGTCGAATGCGTAAGCGTATGCGTTCGGGCATCCCTGCTCTGCAGATCGGTCAGTCGTTCGCTCATCAGCTTCCTGAAGATAAAGTTCCGCGCACTGAAGTAGTCGTAGAATTGCACGCCGCTTGGTGGGCAGGTTGCCGCCGTGTTGTGAGTGCCTGTGCAACAGTTGGGGTTGTTCGCTAAGTCAATGAGGTGCGTAAGTCAATGTGCTCGAATCTGCAAAAATGTCGTTTCACTGACTGGGGTCACCGAGGCCAGCACCGCAGGCACTCTTGCAGCCGACCGCAGATCCGTTAGCATCGACCTTGAGCTCCGCGGGGCCTATGGTGACACTCATGTCAGGGCTTGACTCGTGGTACTGCGACGGACTATACTCACAGTTTGGAGCCAGGTCTACCGGGCAGTCCCCAACTGGGCAGCCCTTGTTGTTATCGACCCTCACCGGCAGATTGTAGCCATCAACCAGGGACACTGTGGGGTATGGTCAGCTACCCATCTGAATCGTCTCTGCCACATCTTTGCTACTTACCATCGTAGTTATCAGGACCGCCGTTGATACCCAACGTGAACTCCGCGACTGTAGCAGGGGGTACTCCCTATGGAGCGGTAAGAGCGATGAGCTTGTGAAAGGACTGCGAGGAAAGTGGTCACTTACGGTACCGGTATGGGCATCGCACTCAAGCCCGCCATTGCAGCCACCAGTTGAGCATGAGTTTGGTCCTGGAGTACCGTTGTTGAAGTCGCAGTCGCGGCGGCCCTATAACGACTGTTCAGGGTATGCCATACGTCAATGTAAGAAACCTTTGACCGACCCAGATGCGACCAGCCTGCCAGTTATCTGGCACAGCGAATGACACGGTTTGGCCCGCAGCTTGCTCCCAACTGTGATGGGAAACAACGTGTCAGTCATCCGTTTATCTCTCGCCACTGGCAGCTCATGACTAACCCGGTCGGTTGGTCAGGGATCGCGCTGCCAACGTTGAGGTCGGTGAAGAGCTACCCGATGTGTAAGTTATACGTTGCCACGCGGGATGGAGAGTCAAAGGACGCATACCCCAGGCCTACAAGCGGAAGAACGCGTTAGATCATCCGGGTCGCGTCGTCACGCTCATGGCTCGAGCACGTACCAGATG